ATATCAGTAATGATGTATTTTATTGTCTCTCATGCAATTTCCAAACTTAAAAACGGGAGGTGAAAGGGCCTCATAAGTGGAAGAGCCTAGGGCCTCTTTTCATCTAAATCCGGCCCTGCCTGAATCTAAAGGTTGAGTTGGTCCCCTGTGTATCTATCAATACTCACTTTGCGGTAATTCAAAATTGTCCCAAAGAAGGGCAATAAAGTCGGACCGGGAATCCCCACATTGCTGAGAATGCGAAATGGCCAAACTCCATATCTGGAAGGAGAAAGAAATGAGACTCAGGAGATGTTTACTGCACTGCGTGTGGTTGAGTAAATCTTACTCAGTCAGCTACGCACTGAAGTTTAAAAAAATAAAATCACTGCGAGGTCCTTGGTGCCCTCTGAGCTTGGTTGTTTTCTTGCAGGCATTTCACAATCCAACTAGGTAATGTCATCAGTGCTGAAATGAAGTGGGGCATGTTCTCATTTAACATTCTAGTGCCTTGGCCTGTCAACCCCTCTCCCTTCTAGCACTGATGATGTTACCTAGTTGGATCATGAAACGTCTGCAAAGAAAACCACCAAGCTCAGAGAGCACCAAGGACCCCACAATCCTATTCCTCTCCTTCCTCCTGCCTTTCTCTCCTGTCCACAACCCCACTTCCTTCTAGCACTGATGATGTTACCTAGTTGGGTCATGAAATGTCTGCAAGAAAGCAGCCAGGCTCAGAGAGCACCAAGGACCCCCACCGTTTAAACCTGAACTTCAAATATTATCTTCTAAGAAAGGGGAAATCACTGCTAACTAACTACAATGACTGAATTAATAAAACCTGCCAAGCCCAAACTGTGGAACCGTACAATATGGGAAGCAGCTCATGGATTTGATAGATTCACTGGCAATAAAAGTTCAATGCAATATCTCAGGCCTTTCTAACCATAATAGATGAAGCAGAGTCAGACGACTCACTGCAAATTTCATGCTCTCTCTCTGTCTCTCTTTCTATGTCTCTCTGTCTCTCTGTGTGTCTCTCTGTGGGTCTGTCTGTCTCTCTCTCTATCTCTGTTTGTCTCTCTCTCTCTCTGTCTCTCTCTCTGTCTCTGTCTCTGTCTCTCTCTCTGTCTCTCTCTCTCTGTCTCTCTCTGTGTATCTCTGTGTGTGTCTCTCTCTCTGTCTCTCTGTCTGTCTCTCTGTCTCTCTCTCTGTCTCTCTCTCTCTCTCTCTCTCTCTTTCTCTGTCTCTCTCTCTCTGTGTGTCTCTTTGTCTCTCTCTCTGTCTCTCTGTCTCTCCCTCTCTGTGTCTCTTTGTCTCTCTCTCTGTCTCTCTCTCTCTCTCTGTGTGTGTCTCTCTGTCTGTCTCTCTCTGTGTGTCTCTCCCTCCCTCTCTGTGTGTGTGTCTCTCTCTCTGTCTCTCCCTCTCTCTCTCTCTGTCTCTCTCTTTGTCTCTCTCTCTCTCTGTCTCTCTCTGTCTCTCCCCCTCTCTCTCTTTCTCTCTGTCTCTCTCTCTGTGTCTCTCTGTCTCTCTCTCTGTCTCTCTCTCTCTGTCTCTGTCTCTCCCTCTCTCTCTCTGTCTCTCTGTGTGTCTCTGTTTCTCTCTGTCTCTCTCTCTCTCTCTCTGTCTCTCTCTCTGTCTCTCTCTCTCTGTCTCTCTCTGGGTGTCTCTCTGTCTGTCTGTCTCTCTCTGTGTGTCTGTCTGTCTGTCTCTCTCTGTCTCTCTCTGTGTGTGTCTCTCTCTCTCTCTCTCTGTCTCTCCCTCTGTCTGTCTGTCTGTCTCTCTCTGTGTCTCTCTCTGTGTCTCTCTGTCTGTCTGTCTGTCTCTGTCTTTCTCTGTGTGTGTGTGTGTCTCTCTCTCTCTCTGTCTCTCTCTCTCTGTCTGTCCCTCTGTCTGTCTCTCTGTGTGTGTCTCTGTGTTTGTGTGTGTGTGTCTGTCTGTCTCTCTCTCTCTCTCTTTGTACAATACAACACAATAGCAGAGTTGGAAGGGACCTTGGAGGTCTTCTAGTCCAACTCCCTGCTCAGTCAGGAAACCCTATACCACTTCCGACAAATAGTTATCCAACATATCTTCTTAAAGACTTCCAGTGTTGGAACATTCACAACTTCTGGAGGCAAGTCGTTCCACTGATTAATTGTTCTCACTGTCAGGAAATTCCTCCTTAGTTCTAAGTTGCTTCTCTCCTTGATTAGTTTCCACCCATTGCTTCTCATCCTGTCCTCAACTATTTGGATAATAGCTTTGCTCCCTCTTCTTTGTAGCAGCCCCTGAGATATTGGAAGACTGCTATCATGTCTCCCCTAGTCCTCCTTTTCATTAAACTAGCCATACCCAGTCCCTGCAACCGTTATTTATATGTTTTAGCC